CTCTGGGTGGGAGGCTGCGGTTGCCAGCTTGAAAGGAGTGACAGTGTCCGGTCTCACTTCTTCCATGCAGCATTGCCTTCTTGCGGCAGTGTTGGAAGATCGCGTGGATCAGCGGGCAGGCGAGCGTCTGCATTGGATTCATGTTCCTAGTGTTATCCTTCGCTTTATTGCGTTCTTGGTTTGTGCGTGTGAGTTCGGGATGCAGAGGTTGGTGGCGTCTCGCTGGTTGTTCTGAGCGAACGGACCCTGCGGATGTCGCTCGCCGGCTTTGGTATCTGGCCAACCTCGAGGCGGAGCCGCGAGCGGCGGACACGGACGGGTACGAGGATCGGAAAGAGGTTCTCGAGGCAGCGTGATGTGTTGTAGAGCAGCGACCCGACTCGTCTGGCCGAGCCGGTTCTTCTTGCAGCTTGCATGCGTGTATGCGTGATTTGCTCGTGGCAGGCTGTCTTGAGCGTGATCCAGCAGAAGTTTCATACCCGCAAGTTCGATCAGGGCGACAAGACCTTTCTTCGGGCGCTGATGCGTCGTTACGGCTGGGAGCGACGAACGTCGGCGAGCACAGCATGCTGCTGGTTCCAGACTTTCAGCGAAGTTCGGAAGGCTGAAGACTGGTCGGAAATTGCTTGGTTCCTGGTAACCGAGCTCTTGCACCCGCTGGCTAGCATCGGCGTGCGCGACCTGCATAACCCCATCGCGGTGTCGGAAGCTAGGTCCAGCGAGCAAGGCATAGACCGGGTAGCGGTCTCTTTGCGGGATGATCTTCTCGGCTGGCAAACGGAGGAAGGGTGTTGCCGTCTGCCTTCCGTGCAGGAGAATCCAGACTTGGTCAAGCGCGTGGAAAGGTATTACACGGATCATGCCACCAAGAGGGCGGAGGCCATGAGAAAGGCTTACCCCCCGGACTTCGAGCCGTTGTCTGCAGTTGCACTCGATTGCCTCGGAAGCGGCCCGGATGCACAACACGGTATTCTCTGGCGTTCTGCTGCAGAGCGGGCCTTGCTGTTTGCCATCCCTGGCTGGTGCGAGGGCCGGCGCAACAAGCAGTGTTTCTTGCCCGTGGAAGATATGCTGAAGCTTTCAGACGAGGTGGTTCGCAAAGCGCTGGAGTTTTTGCGAGACCCCGAAGCATCTCTGACTCGGAAGCTGGAGAATGTCGCCGCGTGGCTGGATTGCTCTCCGAGTTTGCCTGGTGTGTGCGAAGCAGTGTCTTGTCGCCTGCTCTGTCCTTGCTCGGACGATCCATCGGTGATTTCCGAACGGTACTGCTGCCGCTTGTGTGTCTTCAGTTGCCAGAACTTGGGGGATCTGAAGCAGCACATTGTCAGCAGTCACTGTGTGCGGCCTCTCGACGCGGAGCTGGCTTTCGTTGAATACCGTAAGAAAATCTTGGCGATGGTGGAGCACGCCGGTCCCATGGCATCTTGGCGCATGTGACAGCATCTCGCTGGTGTCTGTCGATGCATGTACGTCCATAAAGGTGTGTTTTGTTTTTGTTTTGTTTTTGCATACAGAAGAAGTGAGGTGCCTGGGATGAGTCGCCAGCGCGCAATCGCCGCAAATTTCGACCAGCAGCTGCGCTGCCCTGTCGGAATGGATGGCGGCCGAGCGGAAGGAGGCTGCGTGGTGTGCGCTCGCCGCTTCTGGCTCAGCGAGCTGTACCCGATGGTCCTGTTTCAGAGTCCGGAGGCGGATTTGTCTACTATCGAGGTGCCGTCCGGCGCCGAGACGATTGCACCGAGTCAGCAGCAGCGACTCTGCCGATTGCTGGGCATCGATCGCTATGCGGAGCGCTGGCCGCATATAGATCGTGGCGAACTGCAGGCATCTGCTGTCGAGCATCCGTACATTCCAGGAGAGTTTCTGCTGTTGCATCGACGGCGCATGCCCGCATCTTCCGTGGATCCGTGCCCGGTTTGCCGAAACTGTCGCCTGAGTCTGAAGAGCTCGATTCTCACGCTTCCGAGACATGCGCTGGCCAACGATCTTTGGATGGGACGTGTTTTGCCCGAGCTTTCCAATCTGTCCCCCGGAACAAAGCGGTTGCTTCCGATCGTACGGGTCTGCATGCAGGTGACTGTCCTGCAACCCTTGTCGCTGCCGCGAGATGAGAGACAGAAGGGATATATCGGCAACACGATTTTCTTGCCTCAGGCTGGTCCTGGCGCCATCCAGGCTACGTTGCCTCCCAAAGACCAGGACATGGCCGAGAACATTTTGTTCGTTTTGGTGGGGCAGAAGAAAGAGGATCTCATTAAGTCCAGCAAGCTCCTGCAAGCTCCCAGGGGGGAATACGTTGCGGCTGTGGAGAGGCTTCGAAACACCTCGCCTTACTA